CGAGCAACGGGAGCTCACCCCGTCGCGGGGATTCAAACCGCCGACCTTCTGATTGGCAAGTCCTAGGCCCTGTGGTTTAACCCACAGCGCCACCCGCATCACACATTGATGGTGCATACAGTTGTTATAAATGTTTATTTTGTGTGGTTTTTTCCTTTAATGTAATGATTTTGTTTTTGTGTGTGGAAACTAATAAAAATATTATATTTTAAAAAAACACACACAGCACCCCAATAAGGTCTTGCTTCTCCACAGCCAAAGCCTTGAGTTCTAGCAGAAATCAAGCATGTCTCTTCCTCACGGACTTCAGCCTGCTGCCTCCTTCTAGCTTCTAGCTCTCTCTCACACAACACAACTTTGGCTTTTGCCCTTCTAACTACCAGCCAGTTGAGGGAGACACAGAGCCACTTCCTTTGTTACTTTAATGACCCATATTTGGGCCATGACCAAGACGTTGGCCTGGCTATTCCAACAACTGAATCCTTGCCAGATCCAGGAATTAGGAAGGACTCAGGCATACAGGCTAACCCCACCCACCCTTCAGAAAATTATTATACTATCTGCATAGATCTTGGTGCACAGGAAGTACGGTGATATGTCTTCGCCTAGAAGGAAATAACAATTACTTTCTGCAGTGAATGCCTTTCGGAAGAGAGTCACGGGCAGGAATTCAGTGCCACTCCTGATCTTCATTACGCTATGACTTATCTGCTTACACTACAGGATGTCCGAATTTTAAACTGATTGTGAGCACAGTTGTCCTGAGTGACAAGCCAAGCTGGAGGTCAGAGAGATGAGAAAGCACCGAGGAGGAAAATATGCCATGTTGATTTTTAATGAACAAATTAACGCAAGGGACACGTAAAAGAGGGCAGTACTTCGTTGCCTCTTCTTGGGCCCTTTGCAAAAATACAAAAACAAAAATAGAGGAAGCAGGGGACAAATGAGGAAAGATTGTCTTTCAAGATGCAACGGCAAATTGCCAGCCAACCTCTGCTTGAAAACCTCCGGGAAAAGAGAGACCACAAGCTCCAAAGGGGATGGGCCAAATCCTCCTAGCTCCAAATTGTAATTGTCATTTATTCTCACTTTGAAATCAAGGGTGAAGCATATGTAATCTGATTCACTTTCCTTGGGGAAGGGGCAGTAGATGACACTTGGTGTTTAACCCAGGATTCTAGAGCAGCACAAGATAACTGTGATGCTTGTAACACTTCTTCAGAATGTCTTAAACTAGTGTTGAGCTGGAAGCAATTTGAGTTCGCAAGGTTGCTCAATAATGTTACAACTAATCTAAAGTTTTATCCAAGCACCTTTTTCCTCAATAAAATATATCACTTGCATCATGTTCTTTCATTAGAATACTGTTTGCGTTAAATTAAGCTAAAGAAGGGAATAGTTCTAGGAAATTACTCAATACCCTCTTTCTACTCCAGAGAAAAAGTTATGCAAGTTTTCTGCACTGAAATCATGTAAAAAAAACCTTGTCCTTTTACAAAGCCTTTACCTAATTGTATATATGGTAATTATAATAGCAAGCAATTCTGTTCGGTCTACTGTTTGATAATAGTAGTGGCTACTGTTTTCCATACCTTTGACCGCTTATCAGTTTTGTATGCTGCTTGTACAATAATAAAAGCATCCTTAATTTTAAAAAAACAAACAAAAAGCATTGAAAAGCATTGAAAGTACTCAATTATCTGAGGTTCTGTCTCCCAGTAGCAGCCTGCCTCCCACAATGTTCTATTTAGAAAAACTGGATTTCCTTAAAAAAAAAGCTCAGCAACTTTGGCTGTCCCCTCAACAGAAATCCTGGCCATACCCATGCCCAAGGGAGACCGTTCCACTGTCAAACTGCTCTTACTGTCAGAAAGTGCTTCCTGATGTTTAGTGGGAATCTCATTTCTTTTAACTTGAAGCCATTGGTTCATATCCCACCTCTGGAGCAAGAAAAACCACACTTGCACTATCTTCCATGCGACAGCCCTTTAGCTTTCTGAAGACGGCTATCGTATCTCCTCTCAGTCTCCTCTTTTCTAGGCTAAACATACAGTGGTACCTCTGGTTACGTACTTAATTCGTTCTGGAGGTCCGTTCTTAACCTGAAACTGTTCTTAACCTGAGGTACCACTTTAGCTAATGGGGCCTCCTGCTGCTGCTGCGCGATTTCTCTTCTCATCCTGAAACAAAGTTCTTAACCCGAGGTACTATTTCTGGGTTAGCAGGGTCTGTAACATAAGGTGTATGTAACCCGAGGTACCACTGTACTCAGCTCCTTCAACCCTTCCTCATAAGGCTTGGTTTCCAGACCCCTGGTGATAATCTTGGTTGCCCTCTCATCTTAATGGTCCATTGATTTCCCACCATTGAATCTCCATAGTGGGAAAAAGCTAACCCCGTTGTTGTTGTTGAGACAGGAGCCTCTTAAGAAACCAAAAGGGACAGCCCCACAACTACCTATTCTTAACCACAAGGATCAGAAAATAAGAACAGATGCAGCGTGGCCACCCTGAGTACCCCACAGAACTCCTTTTTACCACTGCCACAAGATGAGAAAAACAACAAAGCAGGCAGGGGGACCATTTTTACTTCCCCACAATAATTATATGGAGAAAAATGAGTTACACAAAACACGTTGGCTGTTGTGCAACTGGCACACCCGTCTCAAGATTTCAGCTAGCAGAACTGCCACAGACACATAACATGCCATAATTTTTTAGCATCTCTGAGGCGCAGTTACTTTCCTCTTCAAGTGGCATTTTAAACTGTATTATTCCCATGCTGGTTATTAGAAATAATGTACTAATTGTCAGTTTGTTTTTGATTGCCTGTTTTTCACCGTCACTCCAACGTCAACGTTGTTAATGGAGTAGTTAATACTTGGGGTTTTTTCCCTGGTATGCGTGTTTGGATTGTAGGGCAAGTGCTGCTCATCCTCTGCATGAGTAATTCAGTAGGGCTTACTCGCATGTAAGAGGCATGCTTGTAAATAAAACCACACTAAACACAGCAGAGCTTCACTCTAAAACAGGCAGTGAATTGCAGCTGGTACTTACTACCCTAACAACCGGACTCCCAAGTAAATGTACTCGGACTGCTGTCCAATCCTGTGCTCGCTTTCTGTGGAGTAAGTCCCATGAAACGTAAGTGATATTTATTTCATAGAATCATAGAATCATAGAATCATAGAGTTGGAAGAGACCACAAGGGCCATCGAGTCCAACCCCCTGCCAAGCAGGAAACACCATCAGAGCACTCCTGACATATGGTTGTCAAGCCTCTGCTTAAAGACCTCCAAAGAAGAAGACTCCACCACACTCCTTGGCAGCAAATTCCACTGTCGAACAGCTCTTACTGTCAGGAAGTTCTTCCTAATGTTTAGGTGGAATCTTCTTTCTTGTAGTTTGGATCCATTGCTCCGTGTCCGCTTCTCTGGAGCAGCAGAAAACAACCTTTCTCCCTCCTCTATGTGACATCCTTTGATATATTTGAACATGGCTATCATATCACCCCTTAACCTCCTCTTCTCCAGGCTAAACATGCCCAGCTCCCTTAGCCGTTCCTCATAAGGCATCGTTTCCAGGCCTTTGACCATTTTGGTTGCCCTCCTCTGGACACGTTCCAGTTTGTCAGTGTCCTTCTTGAACTGTGGTGCCCAGAACTGGACACAGTACTCCAGGTGAGGTCTGACCAGAGCAGAATACAGTGGCACTATTACTTCCCTTGATCTAGATGCTATACTCCTATTGATGCAGACCAGAATTGCATTGGCTTTTTTAGCTGCCGTGTCACACTGTTGGCTCATGTCAAGTTTGTGGTCAACCAAGACTCCTAGATCCTTTTCACATGTACTGCTCTCAAGCCAGGTGTCCCCATCTTGTATTTGTGCCTCTCATTTTTTTTGCCCAAGTGCAATACTTTACATTTCTCCCTGTTAAAATTCATCTTGTTTGTTTTGGCCCAGTTCTCTAATCTGTCAAGGTCGTTTTGAAGTGTGATCCTGTCCTCTGGGGTGTTAGCCACCCCTCCCAGTTTGGTGTCATCTGCAAATCTGATCAGGATGCCCTTGAGTTTTCCTGGGAACTCAGGATTGTTAGAGGCCCATGTTGGGCAAAAGACTAGATAACCCTTGTGAGCCATTCGAACTCTTTGATTCTATGACACATATGGCCCGGCAGCTATCCTACACATGCTTCCCCAGAATAAAAACAAATGGGCTTTATTTCCAAGTACCTTCACACAGGATTACAGTGGGATTTGCAGGGACTCCTCGTTTGTGGAAGAGGTTTGCCTAGTGCCTTCATTATACATTTTAGGAGCCCAGCAAAAACGTTCCTCTTCAGCCAATGCCCTTTTAAAATGTGTTGGGGAGAGGGGTTTATTGGGTTCTTTTCGTTTTTATCATGTATTTTGTTTTTATATTGTAGTTTTATAACCGCCTTGTGATTTCTGTAACCGCCCTGAGACCTGCGGCTACAGGGCAGTCTAATCATCATCATCATCATCATCATTATCATTATTATAGCCGTGCTGAATCTGATCCTGCAACTATTTACATACTTGGAAGTGAATTCTGCCGCATCCACACCAAGTGCTCACACTAGCACTTTTTCAAAAAGGCTTATTTGCCTCGTGAAACTCGTCACGTGAGTGGGAGTCATGCGCCGCTTGCGAAGCGATCTCTTTATTTAGCGGCTAACATCACAAGGGGGACCTTGCGCTTGGTTCAACAAACGGCGCCTCCTCCGATTTTGCAACGCGGCCTCTCCCTGCAAGCTCGTCTAAAATGCTTTTCCTACGCTTTGCGGCCGAGGAGGCCAGGATCCCTCCCACCCAAGGGCGGAGAGACTGGTTGCTCCTGCTCGGTGCGCTCCTCCTCCTCGATGCTCTCCACCCCCTGCCAGTGGAACAAAATGGTTTGCTCCAAATTTCAGGGCTCCACCCCTCCCACCCCAAGAAAAAAACACGCACACACACAGAGGACCAGGGGAAGCAGTTGCATGCCTGTGTGTGTCTGCTTAGCTTGCGCCTCGTTTCCTCCTGCGCTTCCTGGCGCACCGGGCTTCCGCCGTCCCCCGATTCGCCGAGAGGCGCATGACGGGAAGCCCGGGGTAGGGCAGTTGCGAGGAGCAGCAACAAGATCAAGTGACTGGAGGCCTCTGTCCCTGCAACATCGGATCCAGTAAGTAGCACAACATGCATTTTATTTTACTTTATTTCCACGGAGGCCAAAATCGGGGGGTTGGAACGGCGAAGTTTCCAGAGCTACCCGGCGCGTCTTGGGGTTCGTTTCATCGTCTGGGCTGTTGTATCAGTTGCAGTGAACTTCAGCGATCCGGTGGGGCTGACATAAGTGCCACAACTCCCTGGGGCTCTGGGTGCCCGAGCACCCACAAAATTCCCCACGAAGGGGCCGGGCACCCACAAAGTTCGGTGCCAGAGCCATGCGCGCTGCATGGCGCCCACTTCCCCGGGCACCCACGGTCGCGGAGCCAAGCTAGCACTCCTGGAGGCTGGTTGGTAGGTAGGGGCGGAGGGGGAGAGAAGGTTGTTATTGAGGTTCCCCCCCCTTGCTGTTTTCTAATATCTTCCTCCTAAGGGTGAATTTGGATCAGTGGGTTTGGAAGCAAGGCGAAGGCAGGATGCGATTAACCGTTATTGTCCGGCCCTGCTCTGAAAAGCAGATCTCATCGAGAACTTTGCTCTGTTTGCTTTCTTTCTTTCCGAAGGACGGTTTGGGAGGGTGAGAGGCGATTTAAACCACAGCACCTCACATGACCTCTCAGATCTGTGAGCTAGCGTGTTTTAGAAAGAGTAGTGGAACAACCAGAAACTGCTATAATGTTGTCTTTAGCTGATCTTTCTTTCTCTTATAATTGTTCCTTTGCGTGGCAAAATAACATGGCCTGGTAAAATTTTGGCTTGTTAGACAGGCGGTTCTCATGTATTAACAGGAACCTGATGAAAAGTAAACGGCTCTTTGCTTATCATGTGCATGTTACAGCCTGAAATGCAGCTGTTCCTTTTTCTCAATTCAATGCTCAATGCTTGTCTGAGAGGGGGGGACATATCAAAAACACAATAGAAATGACAGGCTAGACACAGCATGAAGATAGATTGTGATTAGTGTTGTCCGCTGTGTGTTGCTAAAACTTTCTGAAGTTATCTCCTCTTCCTTAACTTGCTCTCTCTCTTCTCTCCCCTTCTCTGAAATCAATAAGGGTCCCTAAACTCAACAAGGCTTCCTTATGAGTAAAGTGCTCAATAGTTAAGGGGCTACAGTGGTACCTCTAGTTATGAACTTAATTTGTTCCGGAGGTCCTTTCTTAACCTGAAACTGTTCTTAACTAGAGGCGTGCTTTCGCTAATGGGGCCTCTTGCTGCCACTGTGCCGCCGGCACACGATTTTCGTTCTCATCCTGGAGCAAAGTTCTCAACTCGAGGGAACTCTTCCAGGTTAGCGGAGTTTGTAACCTGAGGCGTTTGTAACTCGAGGTACCACTGTAATTGAGCTGAAAGTGTAGAACATGAAAGCAAGACACTTAGGTAGAGTATTTCAATATGCATCTCCTGAAATAAGTAAGGCTGGAACCAAATAAACTGCCAACTCGAAAAACAAAAGAAAACCATGTCAAGGCAATCTAAGGGCAAATGCATCATCACAAAACCGTAAAAATCATGGTCATAAAACACTAAAATGCTGAACAAGTGACCATTTGTTGGCATGGGATTCTTCACCCATGATTAAGAGGCATGCAGTAGTTGCATGGGGCCTGAGGAGGGTGGAGTTGGCAGAATTGTGCCCTTTTGTCATATTATATTATAGGAAATGGGTCACTGCTCAGTGACCCACTTGCATGTGGACATTTCCACCTTTGATCCCTGTCATCTCCAGGTTAAAAGGATCAGGTAGCAGCTGATGTGTGGAACTTCTGCCATTGCCACTCAGAGGAGACGTTTCTGGGCTGAGTGGACAAATAGTCTGAAGCTGTATGATTTGTGTGTGTGTGTGTCTGTGTGTGTGGTGGAGAGGGACTCTTCAGCTGAACTGTTCAAGATATTTCCTGCTTGGTTGTATTCATAGCTGCTCTTGCTTGTTCATCAGATAACTACAGTGTTTTGTTTTGTTTTGTTTTGTTTTGTTTTGTTTTGTTTTTGCCAGCCTTGGTAACTACTGCTTTCTATATGGTATTTAAACAAACACGGTAAAAGTTGTTTACAAATGCAGAAATCACAATTGAAAGCGGGACAACTGGTTAAAAAAAATTCTCCAAAATGGTTACAAACAGCGCTTAGAGCTTTTATACAGATGCGTTTTAAGCTATATTCAGTTAAGACCATAATCTGAATCACACTTGTGTGGATGTATGTAATAGCTTGCTAAATGAGGCCCTACACACCAAGGACTGGTAAAAAGCCCTTGCGGAAGAACACGTCAGTGTCCTTTACCTGTCAGTGTAATAATAATAATTTTATTTTTTTATATACCACCCATCTGATTGGGTTACCCCAGCCACTCTGACGGCTTCCAGCAAAATATAAAGAACGCAATAAAACATCGAACATTAAAAACTTCCCTGTACAGAACTGCCTTCGGATGTCTTCTAAAAGCCATATATATAGTTGTTCATGTGTTTGTTTATCTGATGAGTAAACCTATAGGCCGCACCAAGCAGATTCTCTTCTCTGCCCCTAAATCCTTTCCCTCTTCGGTTTGCCTCCTGGGATCCACGTCACAGCCAGTGGATTTAGATAAAAAGAAGTGTATGTTTGCATTACAGGTGAATGCTGTAAAATAGGATACGGTTGGTGTCACAACTTTCCAGCATTTGGATTTGGGGCCATGTTGGCAGGGCCTGATGATGGGTGACAAGGAACCCTGTCATTGGCCCTGACCTTGATGGATCCAGATGTTACCTGGAAGGAAGTAGGCAGGGAACGTGGGAAAGCGGTTAATTGTGCTGCTATTGCTAATGCGTGCATCATCGCTTGATTGCAAGTTGTTAGAGCTACTAGTGAGGCATGAGTGTGTATGTGCCCACATGCCTTGGCACACAAACATGCCTATAGCTTTCTACAGTGGAACTTAATTCGTTCCAGAGGTCCTTTCTTAACCTGAAACCGTTCTTAACCTGAGGTACCACTTCAGCTAATGGGGCTTCCTGCTGCCGCCACACAATTTCTGTTCTCATCCTGAGGTAAAGTTCTTAACCCGAGGTACTACTTCCGGGTTAGCGGAGTCTGTAACCCGAAGTGTTTGTAACCTGAGGTGTTTGTAACCTGAGGTACCACTGTATAGCTTTCCTCTTTGTTTTCCTCTGCAGATGGCAGCGTGTATTGGGCCACAGCTAAACCTAACGGCAGAAGTTCGAGATCCGTAAGCAGGCCCGAGACGTGGGCGAGAACTTCCTGGGTGTGGGGGAAACACACTCTCACAAATTCAGCTTTGCAGCGTGAACTGAAGAAATGAATCTTGAAACTGCTGGGCCGACATCCTCGTCCCTGTTTTCGTGGGATTATGTCCTATGGGAAGTCCGTCTGAAGCTAGTGGCGGCCGGCTTCTTCCTCTACTTGGGAGTGTTCTGCCTCTCACACTGCCTGTCTTTGTGGATGGTAGCCACTTACCGCTTGTTGCCAGCGAAGGAGAAAGTCTTCTGGAACCTGGCTGCTACACGAGGCGTGTTTGGCATCCAGAGTTGTGTCGCTGGCTTGTGGGCCTTGCTTTTCGATCCGGTTTTTCAAGCCGACAAGGTCTACTCCCAGCAGGAGTGGAGCTGGTTCAACTGCCTCATAGCCTCTGGCTTCTTCCTGCTCGAAAATGTAGCTGTTCACGTTTCCAACGTTGTCTTCAGGACATTTGACTTGTTCTTAGTCGTTCACCATTTCCTTGCCTTCGGTGGCTTTTTCGGTCTGGTCACCAACATAAAGTCCGGGCACTACATCCCCTTGATGGGAATGTTGCTGGAGATGAGTACGCCTTTCACTTGCATATCGTGGATGCTTTTAAAGGTGAGATGTTGGGTGAGCAAAGGTCTAAAACATGGGTAGGCAAACTAAGGCCCGGGGGCTGGATCCGGCCCAGTCGCCTTCTAAATCCGGCCCTCGGACGGTCCAGGAATCAGCGTGTTTACATGAATAGAATGTGTCCTTTTGTTTAAAATGCATCTCTGGGGTTATTTGTGGGGCCTGCCTGGTGTCTTTACATGAGTAGAATGTGTGCTTTTATTTAAAATGCATCTCTGGGTTATTTGTGGGGCATAGGAATTCGTTCTTTTCCCCCCTTCAAAATATATTCCGGCCCCCAACAAGGTCTGAGGGACATTGGACCGGCCCCCTGCTGAAAAAGTTTGCCAACCCCTGGTCTAAAACCACTGTCCTATTAATACCACCATCACAAACTGTGTTGCCCTGTCTTCTGAGTGGAAGCCTTTGGGGCAAGGCAGGCCAGAGCTGTGGCGCCTCAAAAGAGCTCCGTCTGTGAAGCTTGGCCTGCCGAGGCCTGGAGGGGACAAATGAGGCCTTTAATACCTTGCTCAGATGAACACTGTCAGGTATGCATCTTTTCTGGAGGGTGGTGATCTTCAAAGGTCCAGTCTCCTGGCCAGGGGCATTTAGACAACCAACCTTTGTATGATAAAGGTCTAGTATGGTGCCCAAGCTTCTAACTGAAAGCTGAAAGCTTTATGGCCTTCCTAGAAGTCTTCCCAGAAAGTGTATTTTTATAAAACAACAACAAAAACCTAGATTTTTGAATTTGTAACGGTGATCTGTTGGTTGTTCATCTGTTGACCTTCAGGAGTTTCTTTATATATAATTTGTTATCAGGTTTTTCAAAACATTTGCACAATAACCTTCCAGTCAAAATAATTGCATTGTTTCATAAGTTGACATCCCACCCTCACTTCCACAGTGTTTTACTCAAACGTTTTCTACTGCATTATATCATTAGCGATTACAGAAAGTTTCTCTGTTACAATTATTTTATCATTTTTCGTCCGCTGCTTTTATCTCGAATCCTGCCCACGATTTTATTTGACTGCAATATTTTTTTTAATAGTCCATGAAAGGCCTCCAGTATTCTATAAAAAGTTCATCATTTTTATCTCTTTAATTTCGCTGTCAGCTTTGCCATATCTGCATAGTCCATTACTTTCAAAAGCTCTTCCTCCTTTGTCTGAACCTTCTCTTCCTTCCATTTCTGTGCAAATAATATTCTAGCTGTTATTGCCAATACAACAGTCAGGAGTTTCTTGCCTTCCTTTTCCAAAGACCGTAGCCTTGGTTTCTGAGTAATTAATCTCTAGATTTTCCATATTTACAATATTCACCAAGCTCCCACTGTTATGTTTTTAGACCTACACATGCAGGAGAACCCCATCGCCTGCACATAAAAGAACAGAAGCCACCCTTGATAAAGTTGACTTTAGATTTTTCAGGCATCCTTTCTGGATGGAATTAGCTATAAACAGTGGAAAGTGACCATAGTTCAAAACCAATATGTGTTGATGTTAGTGTAGTGCCCTCGGCTTATGAAGACAGCAAATTCAAACTCTATTCTCGACTTCGCTTGCGAAAATTCTGAACACGCTCACAAACTGAACAGCTGTTGGGAGAAGCTATGTTTCATTGGGATTAATTCCGTTTGGGCACTCTGCACCTGCTCAGGAGTACTCTCACATATTAATCTTGTATTCCTTGCTCAACTTTTCAACTACAGTCGTGCTTCTGATATTGGGTAGCTTGAGCATACTCGGGAACCAGAGGTTTGTGTCTCTTGCAGGAAATGTATGAGATCTTTTGATAAAGGGTGGTGTACAATTTGAATAAACAATAATAATAATACTGTTTTGTGTGTTACCACCCATCAAAAATTAGAGGGAATGGCATGCTGATCACAGGGTGCTATTTACAAACAAAGAAACCACGCCAGCATTCGAGTCAAAGGAACAATTAAACATTATCTTTCTCTTGCATACTCTTTAAAGTGGTCAGGTTGTCACTTGTGTGGTGCCAGTGTGGTGTAGTGGTTAAGAGCGGTAGTCTCGTAATCTGGGGAACCGGGTTCGCTTCCCTGCTCCTCCACATGCAGCTGCTGGGTGACCTTGGGCTAGTCACACTTCTCTGAAGTCTCTCAGCCCCACTCACCTCACAGAGTGTTTGTTGTGGGGGAGGAAGGGAAAGGAGAATGTTAGCCGCTTTGAGACTCCTTAAAGGGAGTGAAAGGTGGGATATCAAATCCAAACTCTTCTTCTTCTTCTGCTTAGAAACTGTGGCATGATTTTCTTATAGTATAAAGAGGAAGTGTGTACTAACAACCTATTTTGCTTTGTTGGAAATGGACATAGTCTTCAGTTTTGAAACCTGCAGCCCTGTGGAATCCAGTTTTAGCCAGGATTTATCTAGCGATCCTAAGATAAGTTAGTTTTAGGCCAGACATGGGCAGACTTGGCCCTCCAGATGTTTTGGGACTACAACTCCCATCATCCCTAGCTAACAGGACCAGTGGTCAAGCATGATGGGAATTGTAGTCCCAAAACATCTGGAGGGCCGAGTTTGCCTGTGCCTGCTTAGGCAGTTCATGGAAGGCATGTTTTCCTTCCTTCTCTCTTCCATCTACCTGCAGCCTCTGAAAAGGCATTTTGGATAGTGTTTTCGTGTAGTTTTTTTAGGGGGCCTTAATGATGGGAGAGCATTCTCTTCTGGTCCTGGGAAGAAAGGCTGGATGCAATTTGAGTCAAACAATCCAACATGCATCTTGGACAACAGCCTATTCACAAGATAGAAAGATGCTGAGTCAAAATACAAAATGCACATGAGGACTTTGGATACATTTCCCCAAAGACGTTGGTTCAAAATATTTCCCCCCAAGGACTTTCGATAATTGCGACACATTTTGAAAAAGGCTTATTGGTTGAAACGGATTTGTAACAGATTCTTCTATTGTCGATTGTCCTGTTTGTGTTATTGTTTCCTTTTTGTGTGTTTCTCAGATACATCACCGCTTGTGAGAGCCAGTGTGGTGTAGTGGTTAAGAGCAGTGGACTCGTAATCTGGTGAACCGGGTTCGTGTCTCCGCTCCTCCACATGCAGCTGCTGGGTGACCTTGGGCTAGTCACACTTCTCTGAAGTCTCTCAGCCCCATTCACCTCACAGAGTGTTTGTTGTGGGGGAGTAAGGGAAAGGAGAATGTTAGCCGCTTTGAGACTCCTTCGGGTAGTGATAAAGCGGGATAGCAAATCCAAACTCTTCTTCTTCTTGTGAGTCTGCTGGCTGTGTTTTTATGTAGAGAGATTTCCATCCGTGGCAGAGAACAAGAAACCTTCCTTCTGTAAAGTTCTAGAGATAAACTTGTCTTCAGTATCAAGCCTTTTTCTGGACTTGGTTTAATGGAACCTGCTTATTCCATATTCAGGGACACAAGCCAGGGACAATCTGGTAGCAGCTCTTTCTTTAACTCACATTAAAGAGTTTAATTAAGGCTGACTCGCCCAAATGCTGACACTGCTGTGTTGGGTCTTCGTGCAAAGATTTCTCTTGTGTTCTTTTCTAATACTATGGGTTATCCCTAAGATCTGTAATATAATGAGAATGGCTTGTAATGTAATGAGAATACTTTTTCTGTGCAGCCTGAGCAAGAGCAGTGAACAGCGTGAATCGCTGCAGCTTGTTTTCACTTACCTCACAGTTGTGAAGAGTATTCTCAGGTGATGAAACAGTTGAGAAAAAGAGGAAGGAACAGGACAAATACCTATATAAGAAGAAGAAGATATTATTTATACCCTGCCCATCTGGCTGAGTTTCCCCAGCCACTCTGGGTGGCTCCCAATCAAATGTTAAAAACAGTACAGCATTAAATATTAAAAACTTCCCTAAACAGGGCTGCCTTCAGATGTCTTTTAAAGATAGGATAGCTGCTTATTTCCTTCACATCTGAAGGGAGGGTGTTCCACAGGGTGGGCGCCACTACCGAGAAGGCCCTCTGTCTTGTTCCCTGTAACCTTACTTCTCGCAATGAGGGAACCGCCAGAAGGCCCTCAGCGCTGGACCTCAGTGTGTGTGTGTGTGTGTGTGTGTGTGTGTGGACAGTCACTGGATCAAGTGACTTTTCTTCTTTAAGTTCTCAAAGCTCTTAACTTGAGCTCAAGGTTGTCATCTGAACTGGCCAGACGTTTAACTGAGAATCCATTATCATCCGTCCATCCTTTGAAAAATAAGATTTAGAGCTGCCTTGCCCCCAAATGGGCAACTAGACATTGCATCCTGGCTACTGTATCCTTGGCTTAAGGAGCCATTTGGCTCCTAGCTTATAGACGGCTCTAAGACGCTGAGGAGGAACTCTTGTTGGTCCTGAGAGGCACCACACCCCCTGATTGAGAAAGGTGCATGTCTTAGTATCAGCTCTTGGGAACGACCTGTATTGCTGTTCTGAGATGCCTGTCATCTTCATGTTCCAGTCATCAGTCATTGCCCAAGCTTATTGCTTTCAATGCCAGTGTGTTTCTTCCTTTTGGAAGACAGCTGTTTAAAAGCCTCCTGGCATTTTAAAACTGTTGACTTCCAGAGAGTTTGGTGTGTAAATATCTATACAGTGGTACCTTGGTTCTCAAACTTAATCCGTTCTGGAATTCCATTCCAAAACCAAAGCGTTCCAAAACCAAGGCGTGCTTTCCCATGGAAAGTAATGCCAAACAGAAGAATCCATTGACTCTTAAAAACAACCCCTAAAACAGCAAATTAATTTGAATTTTACTATCTAACGAGACCGTTAATCCAAAAATTGAAAGCAGTAATCAATGTACTGTATAATAAAACGTTGTATAATAAAATGAAAAACTATGAAATAAATAAGAAAGTATTGTAGATGATAAAAATTAAAATTACTTTTTTTTCTTACCTGCACTGATAATAGTCATTGTTTGGATGGGAGGCTTTTATCCATTTCCGCAGCCACACAATCAATCAATCAGTAGCTGAACTGGGTTCCACACAGTCACAAAAATAAATTAACCAAAGTAAGCCTCGAAAACAAAAAACACAAAATAAATATCAAAAACAAAAGCACCAAACTTAATCCATTCCCGAAGTCCGTTTGACTTCCGAAATGTTCAAAAACCAAGGTGCAGCTTCTGATTGGTGCAAGTGCCCAGGAAACAATAGCCGACAGCCTCATCGGACGTTCGGCTTCCGAAAACACTTACTTCTGGGTTTTCGATGTTTGGGAACAAAGGCACCACTGTACTGGCAAACTTTGCACCTGTTCATGGTGGTGTGATTTGAGGTGAAATGTGTTCTGAATACAACTCCCATGAAAAATATGCGTTATATATAGAGTCTTAACTTTTGATTTTCTTCTCTTCCAGGTCGGCTTGGCGAAGACTTCCTTTTGGAAGGCAAACCAGTGGCTGATGATCCACATGTTCCATTGCCGCATGATTCTTACCTACCACATGTGGTGGGTGTGTATTTCTAACTGGAACGCTGTTGTGGAGAACCTGGGGCTCCTGCATTTTGCTGTCGTCTTCACAGGGATGAGTGCCGTCACCGTAATACTTAACCCCTACTGGACCTACAAAAAGACTCAGCAGCTCATCTGCCCTGTGGACTGGAACTTTGCCAATAGAGCGATGGAAAACGGCACGTCCCCAAAACCCAACGGGGACGTGTTGCAGAAGAAAGGGTTGTGACGGCGACATTATTGGGCCTCTTCGGGAACCGATTAAAAACAAAAAGGGCAGGTGGAGGTAGCTGGGGTAGGCAGGATCGCGAAGCTTCAGTTTTTTTGAGTTAAGGGATCTGAAACGTATTTATTACTAGTCCGCAGTTTTCTTATCAGTATTCTTAATCAAATAACTGTGACGTTGCAAATTTGGTTTAAATATCTGTGTTGCACACCTGCATACCTCAAGAAATGTAGAAGAGAGAACTAAATACGAGAAAAGGCAGGAAAGGAGTTGGCTGTGTTCCAGTTTTGGGAACCAGCCTTTCGTTTCTTAGAGCTGCCACAAACACACTGACCAGGGACAGATCGCTGTCCAGAATACTATTCTGGTTGTATCCAAAATGTCACCCGGGACAGGTGGTGTTTCCAGATGGACCCCCATCTTTCTAGACTCGCTCTCAGTTTTACGTAGACATGCTGAGCTCTCTTCATTAGTCGGTGCTCATAGCCTTAAACCTTCGCTTGCAAATAGTGTTGAACGTTAACCTAGTGTATTTTTTAAAAAAAATAATAGAGGTGTAGAGCAGGTGGAGCAATGTGATTTGAGCGCAGTCGACACCAGAAAAGTGCAAGAGGCAACACTAGTGCATAGAGCGCTGCTGGACAACTTTAGAATAGCCAGATCATCAAAACAGAGGTAGTTTGATGATTCAGAATGCCAGGGTTGGTCTTACAGGTTTCGTTCCTTATGGCACCGTACATGCACAAACATGCCCCTTTTGCCTCTTGCAGGCTGTGAGTTTAATTTCCTCTGAGATGCACAATCACCTTTGTGTAGCATGAGCCAGCCTTCCCCCCCAACCTGGAGATTTCCGGATCTTTTGTGTTCCCAGCTCCCAAAGGATGGTGAGAGTTTTAGTCTAAAATATCTGAGGGTAGGCTGCTGTAAACCTTTGGCACCTCTTTCAGAACAGTCCTGGCCCCTGTTTTACACTGCACTTTGGGGGCGGTATGTGTACAGCCTGAGCGGAGGACCCTCTATGCTCAAGCCACAAGACATGCCCGCTGCTGGCACCTCTGCCCGTGAAAAGCTCCCCTAATGGAACAGGGCTGAGCCAGTCCTTCTGAGCTGGTCTCGCCGCCATTTGGACAACCGCGTAAGATCCGATCTGTGTCCTTGCTGCTGTCCCAGCCTGGAGCTGATGCAGGGATTGGCCTGATCTTTGTGCCTGTCCTGCTTCTGTTGCTGCCATGACCAGCTGGCCTCAGAGGGATCAGTAGCTCCACTGCACGCCAGAGAGGTTTAGATTTCATCTTTTAAAACTTGTGTCGCATTTAACAGGGACAGAGAGCAGATTTTGGATCTCTTGAGCAGTTCCCCATAGCTCCCCAACTGGTTGCTAGGAAGTTAGCGATGAATACCACAGTGCAGGCACCTCCAAACTCGGCTCTCCAGATGTTTTGGGACTACAGTTCCCATCATCCCTGACCGCTGGTTCTACTAGTTAGGGATGATGGGAGTTGTAGTCCCAAAAACATCTGGAGGGCCGAGTTTGGGGGTGCCTGCTGTAGTGGGCGAACCTGCCCTACAGGGCTCACTTAATTAGTACTACCTTAACTGCTAAAAGACCCTGAGTGTTTGCCCTTTGCTTCGGAAATTTAAACTATAGTTAAAAGGCTATATATATTTTAAAAATCCTATTTATAACGTCAGACCTCTCTCCTTCTCAGCCCTATCCCCTTCAAGTGTCAGGTAATAAGATGCTTCTGAAAAGGTACCAACAGTTTTTGAAAGGTCCAAGAGGAAAGTCGTCCTTTTAACTTTTCCCAGTGTAAATGTTGTAAATCGTTTTTTTAAAGAAGTTGCAGGAAACTTGTTCAAAGAATCCGTATTCCAGCAGAAAGTTGTGGAACACTGACACCTGGTGGCTATTGCGATGTATAGTTCGCTTGTTTTGACAAGCAGAATATATGCAATCAGCAAAGGATATTATTGCATGGAGGCAGTTTACCTATGCTTGCCTGTGAGTTAAGTCCGACTGAACTCAGTGGGACTTACGTCTGAGTAGACAGGATTGCACTGAAAGCATGTTCGCTTGTTTTTATTTATTTTGAGTGCATAATTCTTCCTGCTGTGTAGCTTTGCATTCCAACCTGTGGTGCAGAGGTGTAAGGGAAACGAGGTTTTTCCATTCACTAATGCATACTGATGGAACTGCTGGTGGAAAATTAGCACGATGAAGGACATGTTAAATACAGGGTTTTTTCCTCCCTCTCTTCTGCTCCCTCTTCTCTTGGTAAATAGACATTACTGTACATTAATGTTGTGACATTAATGTTGTGAAGGTCCAGTACAGAAGAATTACACCCAGGGTAATGTGCATTTGTCCTGGCATGTACTTGGCTGGAGTAATAACAGTGAAGGAGAGCACATTTTGGTAGCATAAATGCAACTATAGAAAATTAGCATTGGAAACTCAAAGCATAGTGATTAATAGCAATATTCCATCCATTGATAGATGGGAGTATCTGTTCACAGAAGTCTTCCCAGGGTTAAAAGGGTCCTTTCGCGATCAGAGGAGAAACTTTGGATCCAACACACAATATATTGTTCTTGTTTAAAGGTACCTGTTACCTTCTACTGTTGCAATGTCACAGCAAGATATGAAACCCCAGGACGTATGCCGATGGAACTGAATAATTTTGTCAGTGGTTCTCGTTGAGCTCTGTGAGGCAAAGCGAACATGTCAAAATCGTTCTTTTTGTAGGCCGCCTTTCCGTAGTTAAAACCGTGCTCGAGGCGGCTTACAAAACTGGGAGAGGTTTACATAACTGTATGACGAAAACAGGCGTAAATAATAAATGAAACACACCCAAAAGTACACAATCAAATGGAACAATTTCCCCATAAACTGTAGCACAGTGGAACCTTGGTTCTTGAACGCCTTGGTACTCGAACATTTCGGCTCGTGCGCGCTGAAAACCAGAAGTATTGTAACTCCTTAGAAATATTCTGATACAAACAGATCAGGATCGGTGTGTCCTTTGTGTAACCTTGTTTTTATTTGTGTGTGAAAGGTTATACAAAAGGGCTGTTCCAGTGGAGAGGGAGGTTGGTCTAAGTCAAGGTGACCCACTTCTGAAACCTTGTGGGGATGAAGATTCCTCCCTCCCCCTTCATTCAGTGGTCTAGTGCTGAGGTTTTCAACCTTTTTGAGTCCACAAGCTCCCTTGATCAACTACATTTTTTCTGCAGCACCCCTGTGGGGGGCCCAGTTGTGTCACCCTTTGCGGGGCTGGCAGCCCCTCAACCCTCTTTGAACACCCTCCCTTGTGGAGTGCTTCCTCGGCCTCCTCTCCTCTCACCTCTCCTTGGGAGTCCTCCGGGCAGCCGCAGCTACCACCCCCGGTCTCTGAACTGCCCCCTACCTCCTCACAACAGCCCCACAGGGGTCTGGGATTTGTTTGTCCATTCCCAACAGCAAGGGCTGGCAGACCGGCTGGTTGGGCTCCCTCACCCACTTGCTTGCTTACTCTGACAACTCTGGCAACCAGCACCCCTTGGCCAGCCCCAGAGATGCCATTCGCCTGGGGAACTTGTAGCCAGGGCTGCTGCAACAAACAGCTGCACGTGCCTTTGGAAGGCAGAGACTCCAGAGGGCCTCAGAGGAAGGGAGGAAAGGACAGAGGCCAGTGTTGCCCGCTGCACCCCTGACCATCATTCAGGGTGCCACAGCACACTGAAAACCACTGGTCTGGTGAACTAGGAAGTATATTTTGTCACAGAACCCTAGCCTAATTGTTTTTCTTAGAACTCCCAAGGTGGTTTTCAGCCGCAGCATTACACACACACACACACACACACACACACACACACAGAGTCCGGAAGATGTGTAATGTTACATTTTGGAATATAATCCCCTTGCAGCTTTTGAAAATGAGTTAACAAGTTTGCTTTACTAGCCTGCTTCTGATCAGAAGTTCGGTTTCTTGTTTCCCCCAGAGATCATTTTCTCTGTGTCTAAAAAGGGGAAGTAGGTGAAATAAACCTGAAAGGGCTTATCTTTAGTATGAGCTGATCTGAATTCAACTTGGCCCACAGCCTGTTTACACAGAGTTGGGCAGGTGGTGAGAAATCTGGGAAATGGACGCTTCCGTGGTTCAAGCTGTGCAGAATCAAAAGTTGGCAAAAGTTTTCATGATGCGAAATATGTAGCAGCAGAAATCTTGAGTTTAACTCTGTACCTCTTCCACTGTTGGCTGAGGTGGCTGCATTCACATGTCCTCATTCCCTCGATCCGTTCTGCCTGCTGCCGAAATGTTACTCTCAGCCCCAGCTGAGCCCATTTTCTCCCTACTTTAATAGCACTTTCCCTTGGTGCAGTTTTGCAAACCTTCAACAGTCGTCTTTTTGCAGAACTCTGCATTTTTTTCTCAAAGGTCTTAAATTACTGAAAAATGAGTGTGGGGAGAAAAAAAACAGACTGAGGACAGAGATCCTTCTGAAAGCTAGCTGCCTATTGTGCATATACAGGTTTCAATTCTCGTTTTAGCAGAACCTGGTTCCGCGGGGTTTCGTGTTTTAAGGGGAGCAAATCCATCCTTTTCCTCCATGCGTGTTCTTTTGTTTCCCAGTATAATGTCAGTGCTGCAGAGATGGGACCAAGACATGTAAGCCAACACCATGCCTACTTGCACTTTTATAGTTTAACATGAGTCTTGAACTTGGGAGGAGGCGGTAGGACTGAATAGAGGCAACTGTTCTCTGTCTTATGTCCTCTAACTGTAATACAGAGGGGGCTTAATCTCTGTCCCCACCCCCATCAGTTACTATCTGCCACATGCAACTGGTGTGTGATCCCTATTTTAAAAAAAATGTTTCTAATTGCATAATAAAGAGTGTTTTATATACTAAGCTGTGTGATTCCTCCTTCCCCCACCCCCATCTCTGCACTAGTGGTGTATTTGGGGGCTTTTGGGAACATTATTCTTCCTTCCTTTAAATCACAGCAGCTTCGCAAGCCT